TAGCTTCTTGTTTCTACTAGCTTTCTTGTTTCTACTAGTAAGGCACCTGTTACTACTAGCGATGCACTTGTTACTAATAGCATTTTATCCTTTTTTAGTGTGACCACTTCGCTTTTGCGGACGAACCTGGGCTCTCCGGCCGAGGACGACTGTGGCTGTGGTCTTGATTGCTGGGCCTCTCGCTGAGGGCTGGCCTCGGCAATTGACCATCTTGATCATTCTTGATCGACGGATTTGCCCCCAAACAAATCTTGGGGGAAAACAACAGTTCTGCCAAAGAGATGTTCGTTGGGGATGTGTGCAACGTCCCCAGTGACTTCGTCACTCGGGTTCAAGTGATCCGCCGTCGCCAAGACTTGGACCGACAAGACTTGGCCGTTGTCATGAGCCAAACTACCCACTTGGAAGGGCTGGCTATGAAGAAATGCCAAAAATGGGTGACCCGCACTGAGTGCGGTTTTTCGCTCCCTCCGCTGGTCTGGTGTTGGATTATACACCTAACTAATTATATTATCCTCGCAATCCGACCAAACAAGGTTCACTGGCAACTGCTGGGCGCCCGATCTCTAAGATTGGTGGTGGGTGCGGTCGAGACAAATGCGGCTCCGCCCAAAAGGGCAGCACCTGATGCAAAACGGCAGAATCCTCCAACTGTTTGGGGTTGTGCTGTTACACGATCGCACTGTTGACGGTTCCTTGTTGGAATCCAGATTTTCCTCTGCAATATCTTTGAGGCCGCATGGACACATGCACCTGCAGCAGCAGAAGCAAAGGTTGCTCGGGATCCAGAGGCCATCGTCAACCTCAATCAACCATCAAAGCTGCGGGTAGGCACAAAATGCAGCTGTTTGATCATAAGGTACATTTGCGAACACAAGAAAGCTGCAAACTGGACCGACCAAAAACTATTCTTGCAACAAACACTTTAACAATATCAGCTTCCGGATGCAACACGCCTTCAACAATCCCGGCAAGTGTTGCTAGGACCGTTAGGAGCAGAATAGACACGTCCTGCTTATGACTATGAAACAACCTCCACAAGCTCAATGGAACCATGAGACAACCAGCGCAACAATACTCATCCAAAGCACTGGAAGAAGAACGGAAAATATGCTGCCGCTAGCTAGCGTTGCTAGCTAAAAATCGCTATAAATCTGAGCCAAAAACTGCCAACCCTTCACGAGCATTCTTGACAACCCCTTCGTGCAAAAGCACAAGTCCATGTCAGAATTGTGTGTTCAGCTTGTGTTTCACGAAGTCTTGCTGGTGAACTTGGGGTGAGGTTGGGTCCGGCCGGACAAAGGAACTACGTTCTTGGCGGAGAAATGTGCAACGACTGCACTCTTTTGCGGGAGAGTAAAGAAGCCAAGCGGCCCAACCTTTTTTCTGCTGCGCATATGTTCAGCAAACGAAGCCAACAGGCGCCACATCTCTCTAAACGCAACGAAAACTGATTGAGGTAGGCTCTCAGAAGAGGCCGAACATTTTTGAGTCTCCTTTTTTGCTCCTCAGATCAACGATGGCTCGATGCTGATCTGTGGGGTACCGACCTAGACAATGCCGTGGGTATTCTGCCCAAGATAACATTGAAAGCATGGGCCATGGGCCTTGGAAGAGGAAACACAAAAGACCTGGGTGCACCGGACCCTGGACTGAACACCGGACCCTCTCGGTGGTTCCTGTCGGCCTGTCAGAAATGAAACAGAAATGAAGACATTGCAATTCATGTAAAACAGTTAAAACACAAATAACCTGTGCGATCCGAAAAAGGGGAAACTAGTAGTCGGTGTATACTTTGATGCCGGACAACATGGATTCCAGCCAAACAAATCAACTGCTCAACTGCTCAGGACTGACAATCCGTTCTGTGTGTTTGAGAGGTCTCCACTGAGTCCTCATCATCGATCCGCATGAGTAACTGACCATATTTGCTGATTGAAATGCACTGCAGGACCCCATACTAGTTCACTAGGATGCTGTAGAATGATTCTAAATTGGATGTCCATTCCTTGAAGTTTCTTGCAGCCCAGCGTCACAATTGTCATGAGTTTTTCCGCAGTTCCAGCACCAAAGGCACGTTGGTATGCTGGGCGCTCTAACAGTTGCAGCATGTAACGCCTTGCTGGGCTCAAGTTGAGCCCTACCACACCATGCATACTGTGCCTTTGATTAGCCAAGGAAAATCTACCTTTGGGGGGTGGATGGAGACAAAAATCCCTTCCTGTCAACGTTCCACTCTTGTCCGACCAAATTATTGTTTAAAGTTTAAAGCACGGATCCACTCGTATCATACTGAGTGACATCGGCCTTCCATGTGTGCCTTGTCAAGCTGTTGCATCATACATAATCGAGCATCTTCAAACATGCTTAATTATAGTGGTGCTTGGCAATATTCTGCTTCATACCGCCCACTTTGTGCAGTTGTGGCTCTGAATATGATGCCATTTTGCTACGCTAACATCTGGGAAGAAAAGTGGCACCTGCAAATGCAAAAAGTCGTTGCGCTTGCCCCAGGAGCATTTGCCAAACTCTTCCCTTTGACGCAAGAATAATCTATTTTGTAACTCTGTCCCAACTGTCGACTGTCAACTGCCATTCAGTTGTTTCTGCCGGGATTGTGCTGAGCAGTGCTAACCTGAGGTCGGTACGTAGAGCAGGTATGAACCGACTGCCACATCTGCCACAGAGAAGGATTCCTCTTCCAGCAACACAGCAAGAAAATGAAACAATTCCCAATTCCCTTCTAGTATTTTCTGGCACGTCTATCCTGGCAACCCGGACAAACTCAACATATATACATATATACACATATACACTAAAAAACATATATATATATATATACACACTATACACATGTGTTGTACAACATGTGTTTCGCATCATGAGCGTTGAACTGTCACTTTTGTAGTCAGTAGTCACCCCTGCCTCTCCAGAGCCAAGCAAGAACTCACTTTTGTCCAACAAGTTGTCTAAAACTTGCAGGGCTTGTGGCTCACCACGTAAGCCAGTGTCGAGGACTCTGCCATTGCCATCCTCCTCCAAATTGCTGGGATATTCGTGTGCAAATTCATGAGAAGCAGTTCATAGCAGCTGCTTGAAATGCTGCCTGATTTCCGTCCCAACAACTGGAACTGAACAATCCTTTCTTTCTGACTCTCTGACATGGTAAATGAAAGTCTCATTCTTGGTAATATTCTGCGGGGTTAATGACAAACCGCCGCAAACATATTCTGGAGTTGTCATGGTCTTCCTGCCACACGGCAATCTGAAAATAACGAGCGATCAAAGAAATCAAAGGGATGCATATTCACATCTTGGCAAGAGTTTGTCCTTGAAACAGATTGGATCCAAAGTTGCATTGGCCCAAACGATCCATTTGTTCACCTCAGCGCCTGCACAGGCGCCGAAACAAGCCGTTTGTTTTCGCCAAAAAAGTCGTGCCTGCAGGTCCAAACGTTCCCAAAGCAGCAAGTGGTCCTGTTCCTTTTTCGGGCCCAAATGATGAATCTTCGCTGCCAGGGCACGCTTCTCTGGAGTGTCTAAGCCACCATATTTGTCAGCAAGGAACATCAGAATGGCACCGGACTCAAAGACCTCCAATCTTGGAGATGTTGGATTCCAGCAGAATGTAAGGAGTCTAAGCCGTCTAAGCACACCTTTGCGGTAAACTTTACGGAAACAAACAACATGATTGGGACAATGAGTATCATTGAAATCTGAAAGCAAAGAATCCTCCAGCATCGTTCAGAACCACCCATGTCCGCGACAATCATCCTGTACTGGGCACCTGCAAATCTCCATCCGCCAATGCAGGGATCTTTCCAAACGGACTGGGATACTGCATTGAGTATCCTTGGTGTGAGTTTCAACGGAGGAATCTTCATCCTTCCCCAAACGAGGCACCACAAAACATGTATCTGCCGCCCTTGGTTCACTTGCACTGCCCACACCATCTCACAGGAAAGAAATGCAGGGCAAGTCTCGATCCACACGAGCTGCATCCACCATTTCAAAGTCCTGACCTCGGGCCCAACTCCATGGGAGGACGCATCAAAAATGGCTCAAATCCAGGGCGACTCTGCATTCAACAATTTCGTTCTGGTTGCTGTCCATGCGACCAATCTCATGGAGGTACCAATTCACCAAGGGAGATCGGCTGCCGGGGGATCCAAAAAGTACTGGTCCGGCAGCTCGAGCCACGCGTCTCGAACGAACGTGTCTCGCACCGAACGTGGGCACCTGAGCACGTCAAAACGACATACCACTGTTTTATTGCCTCTTTGATAAAAACCCAAGGTCCTGCCTCCTTACTTAATTGTACAAGTAGGCGCCTACTTAATTAAGTAAGGGAGGGTTAAGCTACTAGGAGAAGTTCGCTCCTAGCTAGAACGCCGGATGAGGGCAGGGGGGAGTTTCCTTGAAGAAGCGCGAGGCAGGGGGAGTTTCCTTGAAGAAGCCCTCCCACTGATGAGTTGGTTCTTCTTTATGGAGATCCAATTCACGTGGAAAGATTACATCCCATCCTTAACCCACTTCCCGATAGCCAGGCGACCAGCAATAAAACTGCTCCCAAGCCGAACCAGGTCATATCTGGGCTGCCTGCCAATGCGGCGTTGAAACACGGCCCAAATAAAAGTTGTGGACAACTACAATCAAAATACTCTGCTAAAGCAAATTAGGTCCCTGTCGCTCTCTTTGCAATGAGAAGCTAGTTGTGAATCGTTTTCAACATAGTACGAATCACAACGAGATGTCAAACAGGCACAAAAGTGAATCTATGGTTTCCCTTCTGCCTGACTGCAGCGGCTCTGTGCCATGGCCAGCTGCACTGTGACGGCAAAACAGCCGCAACTGGCGAGGCGCCAAGAAGGCACTTGGCCTGCCGCTTGGTTCGAATCTCTGGGTTTAACCTACCCAAGAACCATTTGTCATGTGAGGAACAACTCCGTCATCACGATGGAGACAGGTCACCCGTCAGCTGCTCAACATTATCACGAAAAATATTGCATTCTTAATTAATTCTAATGTGTTACTACTAGCTTCTTGTTACTACTAGTAAGGCACTTGTTACTACTAGCGTGGCACTTGTTACTCACCGACCTGCACAAAACTGCAAAGACTCCAATCACCAGAAGCAGCAAGCGCTTCATGGCAGGCAGCGATGCACTTCCCAAGCGGCAAACGGGTCTGCGTGCGAGTACCAAGGTTTCATTCATGAGATTGAATGGTTGAACAGTTCGCAACTCGGCATGTGTGCTGAGGTCCTCTGCATGACATCTTTATCTTTTGTGCACTTGTTCACGAAATCAATCTTGGGATGTTATTTTTGCCGTAAACATGAGGGTGGTGTACTGGGATAGTGTTTGTTGCGCAAGGTGTAGCACATCACCGGCACTGTCTTTGCGGAGTGCATTGTTTGAGTTGCTCAAGTTAGAAGCAGCTGTAATTGCACAGACAAAAAATGCAGCCAATGTGGTAATATGATGCAACATACAATGACAAAAAGAACGAAAATGAAAAATGAGTGCTTCATTTTGGGAAGCCTCTAACCTCGACCCCCAAGGCAAACAAAAACAACACGGTTTTATTGATAAACGGTTGTTTCAGCACACCTTTTCCACTGCTGCCTCCAAAACTTCCAAGCAACACTCGTCAAAGGCAACCAAGCAATACCACCCTTTGGGGCAACAACCACATTTGGGACGATTATGAAGGGCTAAAAACAAACACACCTCCCACACGAAGGGGACGGTACAGTTTTCTTCGCTGTGATGGACCATCTCCACAATGTCAACATTGATAAAGAAAAACATGAAACCAGTTTAAATCCGCCCGCACCTAAAGTGCTGAAGGGCGTGATTGTGTTGGGTCACGATCACCTAATTTTAGCTAAGGGGGGCGACTTTTTCGTTTGGGGTTGATAAAAAAAAACCTGCAACAGAGGTGTGTTTGGGAGACAAGTGGGTGTAGGAAAAACGTTGAAAAACACCGGTTTTCACATTTCATGTATGTTTTACCATATCTGTCATGATGGCCTCATTTGCATATGCATCACCACCTCCATGCAAACCAAACAAACGTCTCCTCTCAACAGCCTACGTCTATAAATGACTTTCACTATTGCATCATCAGCTGGTTGCAACTGTGTAGCTGACTACTGCATCATATGCATCGGCTGGTTGCAATTGGTTGTTGTTGTTGTCGTTCCTAATCACGCTAATTTTGAATCACTTCGATTCCCTGGCAATGGAATTTTGCAAGGTCGACCAGTTTATCAGACAGCGCCTGCAAAATAACATAAATTAAATATCTATATCTATATCTATATCTATATATAGCAATTCGGACCCCCCGAACAATGCACAATGAAGGGTGTCAACTTGAGGCGACGGAGGTGGATGAAAGGTAGAGGTTGGAAGATTCTGAGCAGGAGCAAGCAGCCAGCAGCAGCAGCAGCAAACCAGCAAAGCAGCAGCAGCAGCAGCAACGCAAAAAGGTAGCAACAGCACCAGCAGCAGCAAACGAGCAGCAGCAGCGGTGGCAACAAGCAGCGCGGCAGCCAGCAAGGAGCAAGCAGTACAGCAAGCAACAAGCAGTACAGCAAGCAGCAACCAGCAGCAAGCATCAGCCAGCAATGGACCACTCCCAAATTCTACTCCCAAATTCTCAGCGGGGGAGGGAGGGTGGAGTCGCTTGGGGGGGCCCCCCAACATTTAAACCCCAACTTAAAACCATCAGGAACAGGACCACTCCACCACCCCCAATATCATATTGCTAAAGCAAAGACGGCCCGGGAACGTGTAAACACAAAGCGCACCAGTATTTAGGAGTACTGTATGCGTGGAAAACAACTTTGAGAGACTTGCCGTGACAGGCCTCGCGCACCCTCCCCACAACATGCGCTATACGACATTTATCAATAAAACCACAAAGCAGCCACTTCTGCTTGGCGGAACTGCTGCGGGCCGCCGGCGCTAACTGCACTAAAAATCTCCCGTTTCCACAACAGTTACACACTTTGGCATTCTCCACCTTTGTTTTTGACAGTTACAAATTGGTTGCAACTTCCACCTTCATTTTCGACACCTGTTACACACTTTGGCAAGTCATGCACTTTGACTCATCAACCTCCAGCTCCGTTCTCGATGACAGTTTAAACACACTTTGGAACCTCCTCCACCTTACTTCGGCAACTTTGGTGACTTCCAGTTTCCGTCGCCATCTCTGACATAATGGTTGCACACTTTGGCAAACTGCAATTTCGAGGTCGTGTCATACACTTTGGCAACGAAAATTTGCATTCACCTCGTTCGAGCGCTCGCAACCTTTTTTTCCAGCCAAACCTCGCGCCGAATTGGTCCAGACGGGCTTATTGCAAGGCGTTGGCACAGCCAAAGAACGGTAATTAAAAATCTCTGTTCAATGCGGCTGCATATATTCTCGCATCATCGGTGTTTTCATCGAAATTATGATGTCTTAAAACGTTTTCGTACGCAAAGTTCTTTGCGATATGCAGCCAGTTTGGCCTCGGTTCCCCAACTCGTTTGGCGCCGTAATCAACTCTGGATGCAGTGCTATCAACGAACGATACTTGTCTCATGGGGTCATCATTACTGCTTCTAATTATATGCCCAAGTAATTTACATCGTCTGTTCATATGGTAATCACTGAAACGTACAATTTGTCTGTTATCGCCACGAGTTGGGAAGGCAATGGCAGTTGCACCCTCAGGCCCTCAAGAATCTTTTGATTCGCACATGACCGATCTATGAAAGCAGGCGGTCTTTTGAGAATCTTTCTCAAGCATCTTAATTGGCAAGCATCTAGTGATTTGCTTAGCGCTCGCAATCTGCGAGGGGGTTTCGCCGCGCTCAGCTAAAATTTGCGTTTCGCCTCACGTTTGGGCACTTGACGCGCGCGATCTCCGCACATGGCTCAGAACCACTAGCTACTCCCTCATTCACACTCATGCCAAAGTTTTGTTTCGAAGTTTCCACTTCTTTGAGCGTCGAATCCCCGGACATTCCATCTAGCTATACATCATTTACCGAACCAGTATCACCCTCACCCTTTGGTGGATCCGAACCCCCAGAAACACGCTCACCCAAAAACTCCCCATCCGACTCTGACCCAAAGATGTCCCGCATACAACCGCTCCTCGTCCACGTCAACCCTGTCCTGTCCCTCCACAGGAGATGAGTCCCCAACATCAGACCCAGAAACCTGAATCCCCAACCAAACCACTGTTCATACCGCCTACAAGTCCTGGAATGAGACAACCCCCTGCCAAGTCCCACGACGATTGTCGATAGATTCGCACGCCGAACAATCCTTAGAAGTCCCAAACCGATCAAAGAATAAGTGGGGTGGTCCCGACACCGGACACTTGATGCGACTTCGGCAACACCGAAAAAACACGGTGGGCGGCCAGCACTCTCCGTCAACTCACTCTCCACAGCCGACTGACCCGACACCGATACAGGTGTAAACCCCAGAACTCAACTCTTTTTGTTTGCACGAGTCGAGGCGCTATGTGCGCAGGTTCTGCACAAGTCACCTTGGTCGAGTTAAGAAGGAGTTACTCTAAAGTGATCGGAAACACCAACTCCTGGACCACAAAAACACCAACTCCCGCCCCAACAAGAAGAGCAAAGACCAAACTCCCTTGGGGTGAAAACTGGGATTGGCAGGAAAGCGGCATCGACAAACCGAGGCATATTCGGCCGAAGACGACAAACCAAGTCCGGCACTTCGGCATGAACTCTCGATCCAAACAAAGCAAACTCCTGCTTTGGAAGCTTGCCTCCAGACACCATCTCTCGTGGAGTTCTCTCGCCACCGAGCCTTCCCATTTTTTTGCACGAGTCGAGGCGCTATGTGCAGGTTCTGCACAAGTCACCTTGGTGAAGTCAAGAAGGAGACCACTGTGAGCCTTCCCATGGCATTTATAGCTCACGCAGACAATTCAACAAAATCTGCAAGACGTCTTTCCGAAAGACTAGAACACATCCGAGACTTTGAAACTCACACTGCAACACTGCCAGCTGTTCTCGAAGAAGACGATCAGCTCTCTCAACTCCTCCGACCGCTTCATGCGCCTGAGGCGCTGCCGAAGGCAGCTGTGCGTGCAACTGTTTCAGGAAGAGTGAACTGGGACCTTCGGCTCAAGGGGGCTTAAGCCACCCCTCAAGCCCCTACGCAGGTCCCCCCCTTACCCCCCACCAAAGGTACCGAAGCTCCTTAAGCCCCCCCTTCGCCCCCCCCCCCCCCCCCCCCAACCCCCCCCCCCCTTAAGCCCCCCCTCAAGCCCCCCTAAAGCCCCCCTTAAGCTCACATGAGATGACATTGTTGCTTTTCGTGGCAGGCGCAGGTTTTTTTTGCACGAGTCGAGGCGCTATGTGTGCAGGTTCTGCACAAGTCACCTTGGTCGAGTTAGGAAGGAGTTACCATACAGGTTGCACACCAACAAGGAGAAAAACAAAACACCCAAACACCAAACAACCCAACAAAAAACAACCCCAAAACACAAAACACCGGCAGGGGGGAGCAACCTGTTGCGCAACTCGTGTGGCCGTGAAAGCCGTATGAGAAAAGGTGAGACAGGGGCAACGAATTCCGCGCAACTCTCAGTGCCTCTTGTCCTTCAACAAGCTGCTTCGAACTTGCTTAGTTGATGCACAGTTCATGGCATCATCAGGAGATGTCGAAAAAGATGGGAGGCGAAACGAGACCTTTCTCCACAGGTTTGAGGCGATGACAAGTTATGTACTTGCAATGCACTTGAGAGGTACCACTGTGTCATGTACATAACAGCCGTCAAAGGGTCCCATGAAGACAAAATGTGCGCAGGCTGAGTCGACATGCTTTGCTCGATGGCCTGACGCTCAAAATTTGGCATGATGTGATGATTTAAGGAAGACCACTGCTAGCATACTCATCAGAGATGCAGCAGTCAAGCACATTGTAACTATTCTCTGCAGTGGCCAGGCAAGATCGGCCAGCGCATGCAAAGCCCCATCAACCACGCGAAAATGGGTGAAACAGTCGTTGCGTCAGTCCAAGTCACTGGCACTTTTCCAAGTGCATAGTAAGGAGGTTCTTTGATGGGCAGTCGGAATGCTCAAAGGCAGGAGGCTCCCGTTTGCAGGAACCCCGAGACACCACCTGACCATCCTGGATCAATGCAAGAGCGCCCAC